GGAAGGACAAGAATGCACTTTGCGATCCGTGTTCGAACGGAGCGAGGAACAAGAATTACGCGCGTAGATCGCGTGTTAGTGGAAATCCACGCGATTATCCGGCCGTGGGAAATTTGTAGACCGTCCCGGAATGCGGTCTTCCTCGATTTCTGCGATCGTATTGCTGTCACCGGATACCGCTGTGCCGCTGATAGATATTGGAGCGCCGTTCGGTTTTCGGTTCCTTGGGATTCTACTTGTTGATAGCGGACGATAGTGTTTCTCGTGAGGATTTTGGGGTCGACGAGGGGATTATGGTAAGATTATGGTAGGAGAAAAGAAGGGCAGCAGAATATTTAAATTTGTAAGAATTGTAATTGTAAAATGTGTGAGATATGTTAATGGGAAGTAGTCGGACGATAGTGTTTCTCGTGAGGATTTTGGGGTTGTTGAGGGATTATTTCGAATAAAGACAGATTGTGAAGGTGGATGTAAATGTTAGGGAGTTTGTCATTGAACAGAGTTTCAGACATTGAATTTTGGTGATCAGAGTTTATTAAATGAGGAATGGTAAAAGAAAAGAAAGGCAGCAGAATGTTTAAATTTGTAAGAATTGTAATTGTAAATTTAGGATTCTTCAGGAGGTTATTTAGATTAATGACAGCTTGTGAAATTAAATATAAACGTAATGGAGTTTGTAATTGAATAGAGCTTCAGAAATTGAATTTTGGTGATCTGAGTAATGGTAAGAGAAAAGAAAGGCGGCAGAATGTTTAAATTTGTAAGAATTGTAATTGTAATTTCAGGATACCTCAGGAGGTTATTTCGAATAATGACAGCTTGTGAAATTAAATATAAACGTAATGGAGTTTGTAATTAAATAGAGTTTCAGAAATTGAATTTTCGTGATCAGAGTTCATCAAATGAGGGATGTTAAGGGAGTGTAACCGAGGAATGATATGAGAAAAGAAAGGAGAAGCCAGCAGAATGTTTAAATTCGCAAGAATCGGAATTGTAAAGTGTGTGAAATATGTTAATGGTAGCAGTCGACCGAACGATGAAAAACTGGAAAGATAAGCTTGTGTACGATGGCCGTATCGTTGACCGAGAAACAGTTGAACTCCGTTTCATAAAATGTTTCTGTTCCATTTCTGCGCAGTAGTATTGCCATCTGCCTCGTCAGACCTGGACAAAATCCAACAGCCAGTGAAACTCGTCCTCTCCAGTACGTGTCATCACGCCTACACCGCTTGCAAGTGAGTAAAACTCACGTATTTCGCATTTCTCACCGATGCTTCCTTGTTACGGGTATCCGTGAACGGTTTAAAATTGTTGTTTCATTTCCATTTCCACGATTCGCTGGATAAAATCCGTCCCGTTCGAAAGTTAAGAGCTCGAAACCTAAGACGAGAGATGAAAACGTTTACAGCGGGATATATTTTCAGCAGTCCAATGATTTCCGTTGATTCCTGTTCCAGAAACGATCCGGAGTGCAAGGTGTTTCTAGAGCCGGTCCTAAATCATTGCGACTCGATGACCTGCGCGAGGAACGAGTGCATGGATGCTTTGCAACACTTCTACAAGTCCGCTAACCACAAACACTCTGTGGAAATCGCGTTCTGCTTATGCAGGTGAGTCACAGATTTCAATTAAGAAAACTTCATTTACAAACTAGAAACTAGAAACTAGGAACCTCTATAAAATATTCAACCTTACAACTTCTAGAGATCTTTATTCTGTAAAAGTCCTCAACCCCTAAAGAATATTCACATTTTAACCCTTTGCACTCCGCAGGCGCCTCTCAGTCGCCAACTGATTTGACACAGCAAAATTATAGAGTTCCACATTTAATATTAAACCTTGTACAATGCATCGACGTGTAAAATATTAACCAGTTAACTGTGGAATTTAGTCGGAAAAACCTCTCGTTCTCGCAATAAAATCGAAAAATGGAGCGTGTACTCGTCAAACGCAGGACGAATACACGTAGTATATTTTAATGAAAGATCAAAGAACAAAGAAGAATTACATGTTTACGTGAAAAAATAAAGAATTCATCGTTGAAAGAATTAGTATCATGTCGAGCTTTACTATGACGTGTATACTCGTCAAACACAGTTAACTGGTTAAAATAAAACAGCCTCTTTCTTTAATTTATGTGCGATTTCTCTGTTAAGTTTGAAAGAATGTCGGTATTTGATTAAAAAACGTTGACTATTTCTACTGAAAAACTGGAGTGCAAAGGGTTATCCTTATCTGTAGAAGATCCTCAGTTCTCTATACACGTCCTCGGAGACCTCCAAAAGACGTGCAGGTTCTACAAAACTCCTGACAATCCCCCGAAGAACGCCAGAGTTCCTCCGGAGCACTTGGTCTCCAAAGACAGTTCACAGACTCTGAAAGGCTCTCGAATATCTCCGAAGGACATTCGCGAGTTCTTCAGTCCTCTTGAAACCTCTTCAGAGTCTTCGGAGTCCTATAAAATCTCTCGCGAACCTCCGGAGACTGCTCGAGGTTCGACGTTAACCCTTCGAGGCCCTCAAAGGGCATTCACGGTTTCTCGGAGGCCCGCGGGGATCCCCGGAGAATTCTAAACACTTTCGAAGATCCACAGTTTGCTCTAGAGCATTTTAATGCTCTATTAAAGACCCTCTTGCACCCCGGAGACCCTTAACGTCCCTCGGAGGATCATAATGGGGCGTTCCGGCGGTTCTTAGGCGCGGTAATTGCCGAACGGGATGCATAACGTATGTTATTGAAGGATTTAATTAAAAGCCGCCGGCCTTTGTGCCGTAATCCTAAGTAAACCGACGGTTAAAAGGGAGAGTCGGCGATTTAACGAGTCGTCTCCGGCCGACGGAGGTCCACCGCCCGCAGAAATACCTCGAGCTCCGCGTCTCTGATCCCTTTACGCGAAAGACACCGGGCCAAGGCTCGACAGAGGTTTCTTTTCCGGAGGAAGATCCTTTAACTTTTAAGTGGCTTTTGCCCGCGAAACAATGCGGAAACTTTCAATCCGCTGCCCTCATTTTTGCCCCTCCTACGTCGTCCTCCTCGCATTATTCTTTTGTTCGGGGGACTAGGACGTCACCGTCGCCCCCTGAATTTATCAATTCTAAAGCAGGCTCGTTCCACGGTCCGGCTGCCGCACCGCCGGACTCGATCCATTACAATTCTCGGAATAGTAAATGCGAGATCTGCGATTCCAGGTCGAAACAACGTAACTCGCTCCTTTGAAAATTTCATGTCACGCCTTCGCTGTCGCTCTCGCGGAATAATACCTTCGTTTGAACGACAGAAGGATGCATTCGAGATTTTCCGCGTGAAATACATGCAACGCGACGTATAAATCTTGAGATATATTCGGAATACGTGATCTTTAATTTCTGCTCTGGTAGCCTCGTGTTTCTTAAATATTTTGAGGTGAACGGATGATGTCAACCCCTTGCAATGTCGAATCTAACTTGACATTTTCACGTTGTACACGATAAATTAGTCGCTCGGAAGCCAATACGGTTCAGAAAACAAAGATTGAGAGAATCGATGTTTCTATTTCTGAAACGATCGTACAAGATATTCAGAAGCTATAAAGAAGGGCTCTCCGACCTAGAAGAAAATAGTCCTTTAATAACTAACAAAAATGCCCTTTATTCCATCAATATTTACACACATCAGAAAATATTCTAAAATCGACCTAATCACACTAGCTTCTGAGCGACTCAAATATCGATACTTCAATCTCTATTCAATCAAAACGAAATTCTATTCTCTTAGCTTCTGAGCGACTCAAATATCAATACTTCAATCTCCATTCAATCAAAACGAAATTCTATTCTCCCTCCCAGAATACTCAAACTAAAAATAAATCTACCACCACAGAAACGCTTGTTCCCGTTAATCGTTAAAAACAAAGCAGTTCTGTGAAGCGTCGCACGAGGAGCCATGAAGCAAGCGGTAAACCAAATTGAAAAATGCACCAAAACGATTCCGAACGCTCATTAGGCGACTCAAATATCGACACTTCAATCTCTATTCTCTCTCTCCTAAAATACTCAAAGTAAAAATACATCTACCACCGCAGAAAGGCTTGTTCCCGCTAATCGTTAAAAACAAAGCAGTTCTGTCAAGCGTCGCACGAGGAGCCATGAAGCAAGCGGTAAACCAAATTGAAAAATGCACCAAAACGATTCCGAACGCTCATTACGCGACTGTAAGGGAAATAAAAAGGAGATTGCGGCCGGAGTGCTGTGGGGGGGGACGAGGGAGGATAACGTAAAGGAAACGAGAGTCGAACGGCGGAACGAAAAGTCCCGGGGACGAATAAAATACGTAGCAGGCTCGTTTAATGCTCGTTGAGCAATACCCACCTAGCGGCGGCTGTCTGCCTGGGAATTCCTCCCTTAAAACTCCTCGGGCACCCCGAAGCGGACAGATAGAAGTCTCTTATTCCGGGACGACTTTCGGATGGTGCTCCCTCATGCAGTAAATCGCCGCGTCTTCCCGTTGTTCCCGCGATCGTGGGCTCCGGGCGGCGATGAATCCGGATTCACTCGAATCAGACAGCGATCCCGTTGCTATCGGTGATCTATCAATTACCCGATGAAAGCGGATCGGTCTCGTTTCGCGAACCGTGTTCGCGGGAACCTACGCGAGGCTCGGCGAACGAGATTTTGTATTATATTACACGCGTTCGCGCGTGTTCCTCGAACTATCGAGTAGATTAACCGTTTGAGCGCCGAGGGCCGCTATGGAGCTCTTTTTGTGTCGTGCCAAAATCGAGAGCGCGGAGAAGCTTCTGTTTATCGGTATCAATTATAATTTTCTTAAAGTAAATTTATTTGAATAAATGTTATTTTTTGATATTTTCTTGTAACACAATATTTGTGATTAGATAAGTACTCTTATTAATTTCTTTGCATTCACGCCGAATCGCTTCCGCGTTTTTGGTAAATGTCCAAAAAAGTTGTTTAGCATCCATACGTTAAATTCATCTATCTCCGAATGTTTCTTCTGCAATTATTGAGATAATAGATGCTTCTTTGAGTAATTACCGAAGAAATTGATTTAGTAAACTTCATAACGAATTGCATGCCAATCGGAATTTCAATGGATACGCTGAACACTAGAACTACCACTTATCTGACTGTTCCAAATTTCTTTGTAAAACTTATAGCTGTAATTATTAAGATTTCAATTGATTTATATTTCAGTGTATTACTAAATCAGCTTTAACGATTTCTCAGAGAAGCATCTGTGCCTCCTCAGTGATACAATGACGAGTGAGACTCGTGATAAAGATTTCTAGACTAACTTAACAACAATCAATGTTATTCATTAGCCACGGATCAAAGCAAACAACTATTTCAGTTAGTCTTCAAATAAAATCTCCACTTAAAGTAGAACGGACAATTTTGTTGCATTTCTTCCAAATTGTCGATACAATCCAAATTGTAGTAGTAGATGAGCTCTAAGTCGGTTATTGCGTAATGACCTTTAATTGGTGGTCCTAGTATTTTATTTCAATATACTGTTTCCGTTTCGCGGCAGCAGAAATCGAAACGCGTTTGCATACTCCTCGGGACTGCTTGCGAGCGAGAATATATCGGAGGTAATTGAATTTTCCAGGAAGACGGATGGCAAGAAGGACGAGTGCATAGTGGCGCAGGAGAAAATGCATCCTGCGTGTGCACAGCGGGTCGAGGGCTCGGAGACGCCGACCTGCCACAGCCTGGCCGAGGCGTGCAAGGGGAACAGAGAGTGCAGGTAGGCCAAACGAACTTCTGTGTTCGACCGAAACGCGTTGATGTCTGTCCGCTCCTCTTGTGTCGGGGCCACTTGTATTGATTCCGGTAAAACGCCGTTGTAAATTGAATATGTTTTGATTTGGGCTTCCAATTGAATTATACGCGTTGATACGCTTGTGACCTAGTTGCAGAATGTGAGTCGCGCAGAGCCGATGCGGTTAATAACAGGAAAATTGGGGAAATCAATGTAATGCCTTCTGAAATGATTAACCCTTTGGGTGCTGAATACTTCTAGCCGAAACGTTCCGTGCGGACGGAATATTTTCTTGTTCGCCTGAGGATTGATAAATTATGTTGATTCGTATAATTAAGTTGTAATTAAATTGTTATTGTGGTTCCTTAGTTTCATAAAATTAAATGGTGTCAAGAAACGCGTATGTTAATCACACACACTTATAATTGTTGCCGTGGCACCTGTGAAATTGAAAAGATCGAAGAACGCATGTCAATATACCGAGTTAAATTGACGTGTTTCATTTCTTATTGCAAAATGACGAACGACATTAAATAATTAACCGACATAAACTTTTGTACATACAGACGTTTACGTTCAACGTCATCGTAATTTCAAAGTTACAAAATATATTCGTTTCAATAAAATTCTTGAAACTATTGAATACATTGTTAATTTGTGTTCATATGTTGATATTTATTAATTTCATACTGCACAAATTTTGTTATAATCACGAAACAAAATTCGGCCCATAGAGGGTTAAATTAAATATCAATTACTTAATTAATAGGACAACAGGAAACTACGCGCTGCACTATTGCTGTTTCACTAATTAAATCATTTGTTCCCGACTTAGTCTTCCAAGTATGAACATCTGATCTCGCCGGAATAACGACATTCGTCCGAAAAGGGTTAATAATTGAAAGGAATATTATTTATTATAGAATTTAGGAAAATCAAGGAATATCCAAAGGTCGATTTAACTGCATTGGCTTCTGAGCAACATTACGTTTATTGCAAAGTGTCCAAATATTATCGTGATGTTCGTGAAAGAAACGGTAATTCTTCTTTTAATGGAACTTGGAGATCACTTAGAATGATTCCATGCTCTGTGACATGTTCTCCTCTCGCACATTCAGATACTATTTAACACTAGAACTACCGTTCCAGTCAAAATGACTGGTTTCGATTTTTTTGTTCAGCAATCATTGATATCTTCGAAGCATTCAATATTCGCAATGATTTTGAAAATAAGTAGTTTCATTTCAGTACTATAATGAATCTCTGAAGAAACTGAAAATAATCTATTGTTACAATTCTTATAGGAATTGCATATTGATCCTATTAAATGCTCGGTAGTTCTAGTGTTAACACTAGGTTCACGGGTATTTATTGTAGACTTCACTCTATTATTCCTAAAACAATTGATGCTCGTTTATTTGGATTGTGGAAACTGGCGATTCGGTAGTAGGTAATTAGGGTACATGTCAGTGTGATCGCATCAATCAAAATCGGCGTAAACGTTTACAAAATAATATTTCTAAAGTCCAATCTGCGTCAATTTGACGCGTTCCGTAAACCTAGTGTTAACAGACTCCCCTTTAACCGTCGAAACTTGCACGCCGACTTCGGAAGATCCGTCGCATTAACGTCAACAGATCCCGGCCGTTCCAATTAAAAAGTAGAGTGCGTCCCGCAAGAGCGGCCGATAGACTAATGAAAAAAAATCCGATGATAAAGGTATTTAATCATGGAAATTGGTCGACCGTTCGTCCCAGATATCTTCGGGAACGATCTCTTTCGCGCGGGCACGCTTGACGGTTCAATAATACCAGGAGAATGATTCAGAAAGACACTGTAACGCGTGCACTGAGAGGATTAGCCCGGGAGACCGATCGCGGGCACGGATCGTTCCGTCCTTTGACGATTATTTTCAAAGTAAACTATTCACCGGCCGAAAGAAGATCCATTTCGAAAATCAACGATCGCGTCGCGAGCCCCGCGGGGCTCGAGATTAATCGTCGAGATCGTCGAAATGAATCATTGGCCGGAGGAGGATCGGTTACCGCGGGATAAACCGGACCGCCGCTGATTAAGCGTTCGCGGAACCTTCCTTCGTTTTTCTGCCGGCTGGCTCTCGGCTACACTTTCAATTTGAAAGTTAAATTGCGAGTCAACGAGACGTGGCTTGATCCAGTCCGGACGCGTAATGAAACACTTTATTACTATAAGAGAAAGACGCTCCCGTCCGATCCGCGTCGCGAGAAATTACGGAAACGCCCGAGCCATCTTCCATCGCGCGCCCCTCTCGACGAGAAAACTCGGCGAACAATTGCAGGATTTTTATTTTAAGGTGAATCCCACTTAGCGCCGTAGCGAACGAGCCGCGTTACACGGGGTTGCGCGATTTAATCGCGCGGAGGGGGTTTATTAAATAAAAGTAGCGAACTATGATGCCGTTTCGCCGGCCCCTAACACGCTGTACTCGCTAACGTTCATGGAATCACTTCGTCGAACATCTACACACTTTTATCTCTCACCCCCGTTCGTTCCTTGTTTCTTCTCGCTCTCTCTCACTTACACTTTGACCCTTTATAGTCGCCACACGCTGTCGAGTGCGATTCAGAGGTGACTCGGTATCTAGTGGAACAGAAATTAGTGCAAGAGATGTTTCTCTAGTTCACAGTTTCGATCTGTTGTTTGTCATCGCAACGAATAGCAAATTAGCGATTGGAAGCATTAGAAAATCTAAGTAGTAAAATCGAGCGAGGAAAGATGAAAACTGATCGATCAATTCTCAGTCTAGCCTAATCACCTCATTCTCACAGTACTGTCACTTTTAACCAGTTAACTGTGTTTGACGAGTATACACGTCATCCTAAAACTCTTAATAATAATAATCTAACTTTTTCAACGATGGATTATTTATTTTTTGAGACAAACATGTGATTCTTCCTCGTTTCGCTTTAGTTTTTCGTTAAGATATATTTTAAGTGCATTTGGCCTGCATTCAACGAGTATACACTTCATTATTTGATTTTATTGCACAATGAGAGATTTTTCAAACCAAATTCCACACTTAACTAGTTAAAAACAATTCTGTCGCGTTTCTTCCCCCCACAAGATTTGCAACTCAATCACCCTATTTTCTAAACCTAACGTCTTTCGACATCGACACTCGCATAATCAACTATTCTCTCCTTAGACAATAGAAACGGATAGAAACGCCGAACGCACGGAATCTATGTATCACCGCAGTTAACGAGATCTAATTAAAATCAGCCGCCGACCGATCCGATCCTCGTGATCAAAGGGAGATCGGGTCGCGCCCGATTGGGAATCCCGAATTGAAAGTTTCACCCTCCACCCTCGGCGCATCGATTTAATGATATCGACCGACCAGGAACGACTTCAATGATAACGCGCCGGTATTTTAATTGATTCATCATCGGCCCGCGAGACGAATTCACTTTTAATCCGAACGAATTTCGCGAACCGGCGCGCGCGCGCCCCGCGTTCGCCTCGTTTCTTCGACTTCCGCTCGAACGAACCCGCTCGCTCGCTCGCTCGCTAGCTGGCTCGGTGTTTTTTCCCCTTTTTTCGTCGCGCGGCGGAATAATTTAGCCGTGATTTTATGCTCGCCGATGCGCCCCGCGAAATTCGAGATCTCCGGGGAAAAATGCGGCCGAAATCGCGCGTGAAATTCACCGGAAAATTTTCCTTCGTTCGCCGGCTCCCGCGAATGTTCCCGAGTTATTCCGGGATTTCGTTCCGGTGTTTATTGGTTTCGATAATCTCGCCCGCCGGTGTATCGGTGACAGCCGAACGCCCGAGAAGGCTATGGAAATTGGAGCGCGGTGATCTTCGCGATTCACCTTCGACCGGGCGTCGTTCCGACTGGCTATAAACGCCTCGAATTGATGTTATCCGTTCTACGTTCGATTGTTGTAATCTCGGACGAATGTGTATCGATTATTTGAGAAACCGATTTAATATTTCATAGGTTACGAGTCTGTCGTTGCCATCGGCGAGTGACGACCCAGTTCCTAAAGATACTCTCCGAAATATGGAATTTTAAAAACACCTTTGGTTTCGCGCTTAAGAATTCACCGGTTCGTCGTTATTTTCAGTCGGCCCTCGAAACTTCTACGTGAAATCTCTGTAATATCAAATTTTTAAGAAGTAGATCTGATGGTTAAGAATACCGCGGCTCGTCGTCGTTTTAACGCTTCAACTGCCGTGTCACCCGAATTCGAGCGACGCCATTCTTTATGTAATCTTAAACATTAATTTTCTTGCTAGCGTACCGGAAGAACTGAATATTGTTGGATGTACGAGATATAAGAAAGATACTAGGACAATCGTCATAAAGAATCTTGACTTTTTCGTTTCCGCTTTATTAACGAAACTGTTTCGAGTGCGTGGAAGTTTTGATGCGTGTTTACTTGGCAGTCAAAGTGTTAACACTAGGTTTACGGAACGTGTCAAATTGACGCATATTGGATTTTAGAGATATTATTTTGTAAATGTTTACGCTTTTGACTGATGCGATCACACTGACATGTACCCCAATTACCTACTATCGAATCTCCAGTTTCCACAATCCAAATAAACGAGCATCAATTCTTTTAAACATTAATTCTAGTGTTAAACATTAATTTTCTTGTTAGCGTACCGACAGAACTGAATATTGTTGGATGTACGAGATATAAGAAAGATACTACGACAATCGCCATAAAGAATCTTGACTTTTCCGTTTCCGCTTTATTAACAAAACTATATCGAGTGCGTAGAAGTTTTGATGCGTGTTTACTTGGCAGTCAAAGTGTTAAACAAATCACGTCCCCGAACAGAAGTGCTGCACTTTTTATTCCACGTTGTTTGTTGTAACTCCAATGACCCCGTGTAGAAGAAAGAAAAGAATTATTACCGTTATTACTTTCATTGTTACAAGCCATAAAGGCGTGTAGAACCGCGTTGCAGTCGTAACGGGGAACGTTCTCGAGGGTCCCGACGAGCTCCCAGTGATTCCTGTAATTCCTGTGTCATTTAGAATGAAGCTGGAGTACTACGAGCAAAGTTGCGCGGTGGACAGCGTGACGAAGAAGTGCGCTGGGCCGGCGTCCGACTGTAGGAAAGCGATGCTGGGAATCCTCGGCACCGAGCTGCGATCCAGCTGTGCCTGCAAAGGCACCGAACTCACGCAACTTTACGATTGCCTCGGCTGGCAGAGGCTTCTCTGGGTGAATCCCTGTGTGGGTGAGTGAAACGCACTCTTCTTTTTTCCTTTATCTTTCTTCTTCGTTCCTTTTCTTCTCTCTTTCGCCTTTGTAGAGATTTAATCGAGATGTAGAAATATTAATTAAGGCGAAGAGTAATCGGGATTTATTAATATATTAATTAAGCTCATGTATTTTACTATCGACAATTTGGAAGAAATGCAACGAAATTGTCCATTCTATTTCAAGTGGAAATTTTATTTGAAGATGATACAATGATAATAAAATAGTTGTTTGCTTTGATTCGTGGGTAATGAATAACATCGATGGTTGTTAAATTCTAGAAATCTTCATCACGAGTCTCACTCGTCATTGCACAGCAAGTTAATCTTGTTCCCTATTAGCAATTTTTGTTTTAATTTGAAGTTGTAGTCGCATCGTATTTAAGGCCTGTACGAATTTAGTTTATTAAAATACATTGATAGTACAGGCCTTAAATACGATGCGCAATTACAACTTCAAATTTTCAAAATCATTTCGAATATTCAATGCTTCGAAGATAGTAATAACTGCGAAACAGAACTGAAACCAGTCATTCTGACTGGTACGGCAGTTCTAGTGTTAAAGCTACAAATTATACCTGCAAAAGAGAAGAAAGATGCGATGTCCTGTAAAGCACAAGAGTATCTTTTATTTTTCTTCTTCTCCTCCCTTTTTCCACGTTCCACTTCGTGCCTGGATTCGACTCCCGCAGAAAACCCCACCGTAAAACCTTCCCCTGAATCATTGAGAGACACGCACATCGTTTTCGCGCAATCAGATTCCAAATCAATTGCTCAATGGTGTGTTCTCAAGCGGCAACTCTTTTTCGAGCAACCGCGGATTTTACGAGGGGTGAATCGCGCAAAGAGCAACCGAATGCGCGCCGCGTTTCACAGAGTTCCCCGGTCCAATATTTTTATTCGTGATTATTTTATCCCGTTGAATTC